CCGCTCGGCCCCCGGAGCCGGGCTGGGGCCGCCCCACGCAGCCCCCACACCCGCCTCCCACCCGCGAGTGGGTCTGGAGCCTCAGCTGCCCCCGGCGCCGCGTGAAGCCCCGTCAGCGAGGCCAGGAGGGGCAAGCTGGGCGCCCTGGCCGTTGTTGGTTTGGTTTTTCCAGCAGTTATTTTCAAGACACTAACTTTTCGTGGAATCAGCCAGATCCTACCTGTTAAAACATGATGGATTGGGGGAAAAAAACACACCAGCAACCTGAAAAACCAGCGTTCATCTCCATGACCACGGCTTGAACTTTCCTTCCAACTTAGCGATAATAGGTTCTGTCTTGGAAACTGCTATGTAATTTGATGTATGAGGGTCACTTGGCTGGGGAGAGGGTGGACACAAACCCAGAGAATGTTTCTCCTGCCTGGGCGAATCCCTTTCTCCCCTCCGCCTTTTTGTCCCCCGTCCTTCTTTCTTTCTGGGATTCTCCCCCCTCCGCCCCAGATTAAAGTCTACTGGTCACCTGCCCGAAAATAACCAGTTAAGGAATTGCCCGCATTAACGAGAGAAGACCTGTGCGTGATCTCTGATCTGGGAGCTCTTTCCACACGCATTCACATTGTTCTCAGAAATTAAAGCGTGTTCCTCACCGTCCCCCTACCCCCTTGCTGACAAACAACCACGTCTTTTCGGATCAGAAGAGCTCTCGTTTCTTTTGCCACTTTCCCTGTACTTAAGCAGCTGGCTATTTTCCCCCCAAACATCTAACGAGGACAAATGCTTAGGGGCGAAAAGCCTTACACAACACATGCACCAAACGAGCTCATTCTACGTCTTTCAAGTTATACAAGTTCTTAGAAAACAGTATTCCCTTTGTTAGATCCTAACAAAATGAAGGTAACACACCTACAGCAGGGCGGCTACCCTGTTATTGCACTAATCAAGCTCTTTTGGATGTTATTAAGCTAATAAGCCGATGGAGATCTGAGGCGCGCACACAGTTTCCAGCTCCTCGCCTCTCCTTCCTGATGCTATCGAGGCCTGGTGTGATTTTTCTCAATTCCTTTGAAAGAGAGAATATAGACACCACTACCAGAGGAGAAAAGGGAAATAATGAGCCAGCGGTAATTTTACAAAGGCACCCGCCTTTCATGATCGCGACATCAAATATTTCGCCTTCCCCTGGCCGCTGGGAAGTTTGCTGGCGCAGGCAGGGCGGGCAGCGCCGAGCGGGGATGCGGAGGGCGCTGCTCCCGCAGCCGCCTGCCCGCAGACAATAGGCAACTTTAGTCGGAAGGCAAAATATTATTTAAGCTTCGGCCGCCTGCCAGCAAGGGAAGGAAAAAAAAAAAAAAATCAGCTCCCGCCTTTGGCTTCGCCAAGTTAATCACTTCCTACAAAGTTATAGAGGCGCGGGGGTAACCTGAGGAGCGCCGGGCCATTCCTGGCGAAAGCGGGAATAGCGGGATTAAGAGCGACAACGATCACGATAATAACAGCTCCCTAACCAGAGAGGGGGGGAGAAAGTTTGCGACCCCAGCCGGTGCCTGGGATGGGAAGAGCTCTCCTCTCCCCCTCGGAGACAAAAGGCCAGGTCTCACAAACACAGATGGGCCCCCCATTTTTCCAGCGCCCATTTCATCGGCTCCATCTCCATTTGCGCAATACACCCCTCTGCCCTTTACCAACTTCTCGCCCCCCACCCAGACAGCCCGGAGACAGCAAATGAAAGCTGCTTGGGGGAGGCTAGTCCCCCCCGTTTCCCCCACTCCCCACTTCAGCTCCCCCCTACCCTCTCCTTCCCTCCGCCTCCCCCCTTCCCAAGCACACCAGATCTTTGCCCCGCCGAGCCCCAAACTCTGACTCTAGGACGAAAAACCAGGCAGCCCCCCTGAAAGATTTCCTGAAAGATAAAGACAAAGTTGAGAGAAGGTAGGGGGGTGGGGGGGGGGAAGAGAGGAGAGAGAGCTGCCTGAACACGAAGTGTAAGGGTATCAGTCACTGCCTGGAAGGAAGCCCCAGCTTGTGAACTCTTCTTGAACCGACATTTAAGTCTACGGTCATAAATCACTGGGACATAAACTCCGCCATTCACGACTGATAGCAGCGTATTTGTGGCCTGCTTACCTTAACTTCTGACGACTGAGGCGGAAGCCAGCATGCTCGCTCTCTCTCTCTCTCTCTTTTTTTTTTTTTTTTTTTTTTGGAGGGGACACAACCCAGGGAGCAGGGGCTGTCTGCCCCAGCCCGGTCCCTGCGGCCGCGGGGTGGGCACCGGCTCAGCTCCTCCGCACCCGGCACCCCCCGGCCGGGAGGGGCGAGCCCTGCCCCGCACGGGATGGGGACGGTAGCTCCGGACACCCGCCTCCCCCGGTCCCCTCCCGCTTCAGGCTGCCCACCCTGTCCCGAGACGGTCCCCGGCGTGCCAGGCTCCCCCTGCGCGGGGCACGGAGGACGGGGATGTTTCCCAGGGCTGCTCTGGGAAGGGAAGGGAAGGAGAGAGAGGAGAAGAGAAAGGGGGTTGGGGGGGGGGGGGGGGGGGAGAAGGAAAAACGAAAAAAAAAAGGAAGGAAGAAAGAAAGGCGGCCGCCTGGGGAAGCCTGGGGCAGGGGGGGGGCTGGGGAGGGAGCGGAGGAGCGCGGCAGTGAAGGAGTGCGGCCCCCCCCCCGCACCCGGGCGTCACCAAAGTCCAGGAAAATTATGCTAATGAAGACAAACGGCGCTCACAAAGGGTCGCTCTCACCAGCCTTCGGGGGTGCTGCTGGGGGGGCTTGTGTTTGTCCCTCTTACCGGTGGGCTTGGGGGGCGGCTGCGGAATAGCCCCTCTGCCGCTCCCCGCCGCCGGGAGCCCCGCAAAGCCCCGGCTGAGTCCCGGCGAGGGGAGCAAAGCCCGGAGAGCCGGGGCTGGGTCCGGAGAGCCAGGCGAAGCCCACCAGGATCCCCGCTCTGGGCAATGCTTTCAGAGCCACGCTGGAAATCATTAGAGTTACTAATTATTAACTCATGCATGCGTGAGCGCACACACACACGCAGATGTACACACAGACACCCCCGCCGGCCCCCAAATATCCCCAGCGCCCGGGACGGGCACAGAGGCTCTCACTCCACACACACACACACACACACATGTGCTACACAGGCGGGTCGGGGTGCCCGCCGCCCCCCGTGGGGACGGGTGGGCGGCAGTCCCGCGTGGACGGGGGCCCGCACAGCCCGCTTTCGCCTCCCGCTCTTCGGCAGCGCTGGGGAAGGCGCTCGCTTTTTTCTCCAGCGCCCCGGGTTTTGGGGTGGGGGTGTCCCGTCCCCCCCTTTCCCTGCAACAGAAACACGGCAGCGACCGTGCAAACGAGAACTTAAAGTTGCAGCCCCTGCCCCTCTGGCAGACGGTAGCTGGACTATGGGCTCCGTGCATTAAGCGGAGGCTCCGAATAATGCCTAGGTGTAAATCTGACTTTACTTCATTAATTAAGGCATTAAAAATATAACTAGTCCGTTTAAAGCACGAGGGAGCCCGGCGTCATCTTAAAGCACAAACAAAGCGAGGGGGAAGCGAGAAATAAAAAGCACTATAAGGCTGGGGTGGCCTCTTACGCATACCAATGGTTTTTGTCATTTATGGCTATGCAAGATTTATGACTTCATGCACCAAAGCTGTAAACAGAGCACTAAAACAGAAAACACTTGCTCCTTATGGCATAAGTGAGAAGGCACCACATGAAAGGGGAAGCGGGCAGCGTAGGAGGAGAGGAGAAGCAAAAATCCCGCGTATGCGTTTTGCTTCAAACAATCCCTTGAATGTTGCATCGGAAGAAAAAAGTCTTTTTAGTCAATAATCAACCCCACACTTTCTTCTGAAACTGCTGATCTGCCATTCGCCCTCTTGCCCGACCAAATAGCGAGAGGCAGCGCTGCGCCCCGACGGAGCCCCCCGGACTGGAGAGGAGGATTTGGCAAGGGAGAGAGAACTGGGGACTGCAGAAACCTGCGGACGCCGGGGAGCCTGCCGGTTTGGGGAGCCCTGCCGAAAGCCTGGGCGATCTTTTCCTAGGAGCGCGTTTAAACTTTGGAGCGATCTCCAGCGGGATATTCTGACTACATGTCTGTATTTAAGAGCGGGGACGGGGAGGGGGGAGGGGGTCTTTTTAAAACTGACGGGATTTGCAAGGGACTTTAAGCGTGAGAACCGAAGTGGGTCGTAGGAATACTGAAGTGTTTCCTCCATTCGTCTTACTGCCTGCAAAGAGTAT